ATATGATTTTAGTTTTCAGTATGTTCCATTTTGCCAAAGTGTAAACAACATAACATTTTTAACATTAAAATGTTGAATTTTGTGCCAACAAAATGCAGTTTGCGGGAAGCTTTACTTTTTCGCTTCCACTTAACGAAAATCGCTGCTGAAAGTCAACGATTGTAATCGAAAGCTTATGCTGATTACACCCCATTGATTTTAACATTTTAGTACTGTTTTCGACGCTTTATAAATAGTGATTTCGATACGGAAGACAAGAAATGTCCAGGCCAGCCGAAAAAATTTGAAAATGATGATTTGGAAGTATTACTCGATGTATATCTGTGTCAAACGTTTCAAGAATTGGCAGGATCATTGGAAATTAATTTCTCAACTGTCGGAAAACGTTTAAAAACAATAGGAATGATTCAGAAGCAAGGAAATTGTCGTACGAATTGAAGCCAGGAGACATTAAAAGACGTTTTTTCACGTGTAAACAGCTGCTCCAAAGGCAAAACAGAAAGAGTTTTTTGCATTGCATTGTGAGTGATGATGAAAAGTGGATATACTACGACAACTTCAAGCGTAAAAAGGGCAGATGCAATCCTAGCCAACCATCAACATCAACACCAACTCTATATTTGGTGGGATCAGGTGGGTGTAGTGTACTACGAGCTGCTCAAACATAATGAAACCATCACTGATGGACGCTATCGACAACAATTGATGCATCTGAGCCGAGCATTAAAGGAGAATCGACCACAATATGCCAAAAGACACGACAAAGTGATTTTTTTTACCACATGACACAGAGCCCGTTAAGGAAACGTTAGAAGCGCTTGGATGGGATGTTCTACTCCACCTGCCGTATTCACCAAATACTGCTTCTTTTGATTACCACCTGTTTCGATCGACGACGCAGGGCATGTTTGACAGCACTTTCACTCTTATGAGGATATCAAAAAATCGGTCGATTCGTGAATAGCCTCAAAAGACGAGTTGTTCTTTCGACATGGAATCCGTCTATGCTAGAAAGATAGGAAATAGTAGTGGCTAGCGATGGACAATACTTTAAATAAGTTATTACTTTAACATTTCTGTACAATAAAGTTGCATTTTTACAACAAAAATCCTTTAAAATTAATTTCAACTCCCAATAAAACAGAAGTCATTAGAAATTTTCCAACTCAACCTAACGCAGAAAATATTAAACAATTCCTAGAATTAAGCGGATATTATCGCCGCTTAAAAAGAAGTGGGACCGAACAACATCACGACCGATATGGAAGAAACAATAGAGAGTTAGCATACCAAGGCCTTTCTCGCTTCTACACAGTCCTCGCACAATTTGCATATATTACATCTCTAAACCTCTATCCCAGCGTCTAAGACACGGTTATATCAGAATGTTTTACTGACGAGTCCACTAGTAGATCCCGGACGAAACGCTCACTCCCTCTCTCCCAAACTGTTCCAAGTTCTACTTCCTTTCCGGAATTTAACATGTTCACTGCCATGGGAATTTTAGGTATTCTATACAATATTCTTTATTCTTTTATAACAATGACAAATCTTGTAATAACCCATTCACTGTTAGCATACAATGTGTGATTTCATTTGTACTTTCAATTTATTTTGCTTTATATCACGATACATTTCAAATACAACCAAGATTGTACCAAACTGGCAATCTCTTGCTACGAGTATATTCGTGACTGGCAGTGAATGGGTTAACAGGCCGCTTCACTCACATGAGAATCGCCTACACTAAATAACGAAATACTATTCAGATGAATGCACGCATTCCGCTGGCAGTGGTCAACATTCCCCAATATCGTCATTATAAGTTGCGCATTCCGCAATGTGGGAATGGCAAAGGCCATCCCTCGCGTTGGTCCCTCTTGCTCTAATAACGTTCATCTCTTGTCAGGTATCGTAGTCCGGACAGCCGAGTACAAAATGTGAATGTGTCTATTATGCCTGTGCGTGATCTGTATTATCTTGCGATTAGGTGGTGCCGCTATGTTTGGGAAATAGGAGTGTTTGCATTTAAAAAATCTTTTGAGTGGCTGAAAGAGTGCGAAAGAAGAGTACTTGGTACTGAGCGACTGGACCGGACCGTGAGAATGCAGTAAATAGCGATGCGTGTAATTACGCGACTGTGTGAATTTTAACTGTGGATGCTAGGATGAAGGTACAAGTGAAAAGGAATGCGCGTGAAAAGAAAGAAAGAGTGATTGGGGATGAATGATAAAAGCGTGTGGATGTTCGGTGGTGAGAGAATCTTGGGGAAATTCTTGAACCCAAAGTCTAACGAGAGAGTTGACAGAGCGAGCATGATCTTAGAAGCAACTGATTAACGTAACGACTTGGTGTCTTAGTAAATGGTATTTGTGTAGTTACTATTCTGGTTACTATTAATAAACTGTTGTTTCTGTTAATCAAATTGGGATTTATTCGGAATATATCCTACAATCGGTGCCTCATCCAGGATTTTATACTACAATATGAACTAATAGATAACTTTTTTCAAATTAAGTGAATATTCATCTGAAATATGATATCCTTGTGGTGATAAAATATAAAAATTATTTACACGAATAACTTATATATTTAATAACGTCCTTATAAATATTATCTTTTACGATATCATTATTACTGTTATTATTTTTATTATTATCATCATCATTATGATTATTCTGTCAATACAATTAGACGTTTCTATATGACAATACTCCACTAAAATCTGGACATATCTATAGTAAGAGAATGATTTCACGAAACATTGAAGTTCGTTTTTGCCCACTTATCATCAGTGTAAAGATAAAGTGTTTTATAATTAATAAAAGAAAATGACTTCCATTTAGAGAATAGCATGGTTGAATAACGAATAATAGAATCAAAATCTTCTTATTTAAATTTTTTAAACTATAAGACACGAAGGAAAAAGTAAATTTTCTATGCATGAATATACAGCACGGGACAAAATGATACGCCAACCCCATGTGTGTTTAGACAGTTCAAGGTATATAAGTCCCTATAGAAGATAATACATATTTAGTATAACATGTACGTAACACTTATTATTGTACGTACACAAAAAATCAATTTTCTGAAGCTTGGTTTACGAATGCTATGGAAAAAATATAAATACGAATGAATGCATGTGGGACGAAATGATACGAAGCATACCTGTATAATGACTTAGATGGATCATTAATATTTCGTGATGGCACCGTACCTCTTTATAATTTCAATTAAACGATTTGGAATTAATTTATATAATTTTTTAACTTTCTTTAATGTTAAATTATTTTAATCTGCTACTACATTAGATTTTAGTTCTTAAACTGTTTGAAACTGTCTTTCTCCTATATATACTTTTCTAGATAAGTCTATCCACACATTTTCTACAAAATTTAGGTTTGGCGACCTTAGTCATCAGTTTAAAATTTGAATATTTTTATTTAAGTAAAATACTCTCACACTCGTTTAGCGGTGTGCATAGATGCACTAACGTGTTGGAAAAGCTTCCCTCTTCGCGTAACGCGAACGGTATATTCCTGCAATTGTTCGTCTATGTTTCGGACTATTTTTTGCAGCTTACTTTTAATTATTTTAAAATCACTCGCGAGGTCCGAAGCTTGTTTAAAAAACGGGTTTTGAAGGAACGTTAAAGAAAGAACGATATAGCGATAAACTATATTTATTTGACTGATCACTGATTAACAGAGGAACCAGTAGTTCGCTTGATTGCGGAAGTGGATTGTCGTTTTTTAGGAATGCGAAAAACGTTCCTAATTAGGGAGTTACAATTGTCCTTGTTTGGTACTTAGGTGGGGAGTTTTCTGAGTGTTCGTGAAGAACGCGGGGGTAGCAGATGTGAAAACAGCCTGGCAAATAGTATTATCATGGAAGTAGGAATATTGCCGTTTTTAAACATCTGTATTTTTATGACGATTATTGGTAGACTTCTGTAAAGACCACAGATAAATATACAGTTCTTATATTGCTCTCTAAACGTACGGTAGTTATATTTTTTTACATTGTGGAGATATTATTGTAGGATTTATTTATTAAAAATCCCACGTGCTCCCGTGGTAGGGAATAAAAAAAAGAAAAGATACACTCACTGAGTAACAATAACAAAAATCTGAAGAACACTTTATTTCAATATAACTCGCTGACTCGGTAAAAAGAAAACACGCCGCTTGTTCACTCGCTCAAGGTTATCGCCAACTGTCTCAAGTTTTCCCTGTCCTCCGTCCTCGTTGTCTTTCCCTTTTCTTCCATCCCTTTTTACACTCAATCACTCACTCACTCACTCGTTACCCTTAGCCACGCAAAATTCCTAGGCACTAAACCCAGGTCACCCGAAAACGTCCACTCTGTCCCAAACGCTCTTCATTCACACTCCACGTTTTTCTAAACCGTTTTACAGGCATACGTCCTCATCCGTTCAGTGATTTACAACATCCACTCTGACTCATTCTAACTTTCACTCATCTAGAAAAACCCTACATTATGAAGTTTTTTCAATGACAATGGATATTTTGCGTTTCGATTCCAACATTATATAAATGGAGAAACAGAATTTATTTGCACAAAATTTGTATTTGTGAAATAAAAATCATTTTGTACAGCAGGGACTGCTTAGCAACACATTGGTAACCTTGAATTTTCGTTCTGTGGATAGTCGAATTTGGGGGTTTTGTCTACAGGTGGCCGCACTGTGCGCCATGATTCCTGTAGGTACCGGACGCGGCGGCGACGATAGAGTTTCAGAGGACTCCCCTACGCCGCCGCAGTATTGACTACAGCCAGTTCCAAGAATACGCCGGTTCCCGACCAGCTTGGATTGAGGCGGCACAAGTGGAAGCTTGTGTCGCCTAGCTATTGCAGTAATCTCTCCCAAATTGTCCTTTCCATTCTATTCTCGACTTACCCATGTATATAGTTCTATGAGAATATTCAAGAATCAATCCAAGAGAACAATGACCAAAGGGGAAAATAGGAAAATCTTGCGACATCAACCAAAATCTTCAAAGTTCGAAGCGACGATTAACATCATCGTCGAGAAAATGCATAATCAAAAACAAAAACCACACATAAAAGTTTACGTGTACTCAAGACCGCGCACCGCACTTATGCTGGCCCGGAAAACACCTGCTGCATCATCACCAATTTAGAAAGCAAAATTATCTGATTGACGGAAGCCTCTTTCGGGGACTTCCACTAATCGGCGAAAAACTATCGGGCTCCTGCTAGGCAGGGAAATTACCATATAAGGAGGACACCGTGGAAGCTGCAAGAATACTGAGAAGAATAGAAATACGGTCACGGTCACTTGTGCCCAAAATTTTTGTACTTATAGTGCAGCGACACATAAAAGGTCAATAAACGCCGAATGCGACAGTTGGTATAGAATCCCAAGCATTTGCAGATGTTTGCAAAAAGTAGGTCGTGCTAAACAGTTTTTCGTACGAGGGAATGGTCGACGGCGCGAGTCAACGAAGCAAGGCATAACATAAGCGAAAAATTGCGAAGAAAATCAGGTGTTAGTTAAAATGTGAGCACGACGACTAAAAGTGTATAAAGGTAGCGTAATAAAGGTCTAAAAAAGAAATTAGTCTTTTACTTACGAACACTACCACGTACAGTTTTCGCTTTTGAATAAACTTTGTTCTATGAATGCGTGGTTAGGATAAGTTTATCATCTCTACACCTTTTACATTCTGTGACCATGTATATGTATTTAATATTTCGACAAAATAGTCGTGATGTGTCGCTTGACTAGCTTCATATTTAGTTTGACATCAGCTTTTCAAGCTGGAGATACTGAAATTTTAAGAAAAGAAAGGATTAACTGGAAAAATTATCCTATTGTTTGATAATTTAAAAACACGTAAACTACCATCACAACCTATTGATCACTTTGAGATTGTTTATTTATCGCTGAATATGACGTCCATCCTTCAGCTTATGGAACAAGGAATCTTTGAAAAAACGGAAAGATATTACGAGGATGTGGAAATATTTTATACAAATTATACACTAAGGGATTGCATAGATATGATCTATGCATTTTGACAAGACATCACGACAAATCATATAAGAAATTCATGGAATAAAATACTTACGAGCGAATCATCACAGAGCACACAAACAGAAAGACTGGACTTGCAAAGTGTAGTAAGTGAGATGACGGATGAACTACCATCAATGGAACATGTGAATAACTTTTTATCTGCGTGTGAAGAAATCGAAGCTACAACCGAGGGAAATACGAAAAAGAAACTCCAGCAGAAAAAGAACCACAGGATAAGCCTCCAAATAACAAATAATCTATGAAGGCTGCAAAGATGACAGGTCCACCACGGAATTAGAGCACATCTTCAATTGGCTGTCACTCTACAGTGACAGGGCACCGACATGCATCCAGTACATAATGCAATGATTAAAATAATTTTTTCAGGAGCAAACCAATAAAGGGTGAGAAACCAAGTAAAGTAGTTAAATATAATAATTAATGATTAAGAAATAATTCAGAAGCTAAATGAGTAGTATATAATTAGTAGAATACTTAGTAGATTCATTAGATTTATAGAATAGGTAAAACTTGAAAGTAATTCAGTTATTAATAAAAACAATCATTTCCCCTAATTAAGAAAAAGGTCATACATACAAATACTTCGTCGATCTGTAACAGGCAAGATTTTTTAACGAAAGTTAATAAAGCAAGTTAATATGATCCAAATCATATCATGTTTGATTTAATTTTAATCGAAAAATCCCTATAATACATTAAAAAAAATTTCATACTGAAAAAGCTAAAAATAAAAATGTCCAATCGCCGTTTGTATTATATATGTTTGCTTATGTGTGTTGACACACCGTTACGTTGGGTTTTAACCTCTTAGGCACGGCTGAATTTTGCGCGGGGTTGTTTCTCTGTACGGCAGAGTTCAACACGTATTACATGTAAACGATACAACACTACAATGTGTGACGGACAATGCTGTTCTCTACGCCAGTACATTGGAATGAAGTTTTTAATGATTAAATTATAATTTTTCTTAAAGATATGATACACATAATTTAACTTTAAAAATTTACTTTAATAATTAATAATACAATTGGGTATGATATATTTTAAAGCGCGGTAGGACACATAAACCTACGTCACAATCTTCACACTCATAGCGCAATTTTCGTCTTACATCGTTCTTTGAACATACGATACAATTTCGTAACGCTGTTTTAGATGTTTTGGACTTACAATACGATGGAAAATGTTTTTCGGATAGTCTAAATGGGTGATCGCGAAAGCCACTATAGTGGCGCGTCGTTCAGAAAGATGACATTCGCGAAAGCCACTATAGTGGCGCGCCGTGCCTAAGAGGTTAAATTTCTCGGCTACTTTGACTCTCATTCCATCTCTTTTCCGGCAACTACAGAGGCAACTACAGAGGCGAGCCGTGAGATTCAAAAATGGTGTCTACATACTCAAGTTGTCCCAACGCTATTCCGAGCAGTAGGACAATTCGAAAGAGATTACTGTGTAATCCAGGCTGGACGGTTGATGTGATTGCTACATAATTTCACGATTTTTTAAATGAAATACCTCTCAGATTGAAGTAAGAAAATTTTATCAATTTCGTTTTGGTTTCGAGCTTTTGCTCAACCAATTTTTAAACTAAAATGAAAAGTAATGTCCTGAATAATTTTTCATAAACAACTAATCAGGACTTGAAAATGTACCTATGGTGTATCATTTTGTCCCACTAGAAGAAACTCGTATTTACACTTCTTCCCGTAATATTCGCACACCAAGTTCTAGGAAACTGATTTTCCGAGTGTTTACGTACAATGTGAAGTACAATATGCATTATCTTATAAGTGTATTCAGAACAATACGCGCTTGAGAGGTGGCGTATTATTTTGTCCCACACTGTATTAGGTGTGCAAATATGTTCGGTGCCTTTTTTTATCGATCATAATTGTCGTTTGAACTCGAATTTCTTCTCACACTTGGGGGTAACTGAAAAGAAACGTTCTTTTGGTTACAAAAAACACCATTAACGACAGCTGTACATTTTACCAGTTCAAGGGGCAGTCACACACATCACAGCATGTTAGAAACTTATCTGTGTAATTGCATTCTTTTTCACTTTCCACATGAAGAAATTATCTATTAAGACCACAGAAATGGTTCAGCCAACGCTAGGTAAGAACGCTCTATTTTATACAACGTGCAGAAGGTGGTATCTACAATACTGATTGAGACTGTTTCACAGCGTTGCTTCTAATTATCGTAGTGTATTAGATTTCATACAAAAAGTTAATTTTAATCGAGCGGTTTTCAAAAAGTGAGAAACAAGTCCTGATATGGCCACACTGTTTAGAAAAGACATTTATAATTTACCTAGTAGATGAGGAAAGGTACTAAAAAATTATGAATATTTCTAGACGCCATATTGTGCATTGCGATTTTTGTAATAAAAACTTAAAATTAAAAACAAATGCACCAAAATTATTTGCACATCTAATAATGTTACAAATAAAATGGATATAAATAAACAGTATTGTACATTTCTATTTTTGGAAGTAATAAATTATTCACAAGTATATTTCGGATACTTTATTTTGTAGACCTGCTTCATTGGATAATTAAAATTGCAAATGACTGGGAGCTGGTTAATCTGAGAATTTGAAAGACAAAGTATAACAATAACTACCCTCTGTTCCCAATATTGAGTCCGGCTAAAATCGTGATATATGTTGCACATAATATTTTTAATGCATCTCGTCAGAGTTTAAGTATCACTTTTACGAGATAGGATTCTTTCAAATATTAAAATACTCTAAATTCTCTTATGTGAACTACATTTTCTATTACAATATATACTTATTGCAATAAAAATATTTACATATGTACAAAAGTGTTCATATATCGTCCGTTGCACGAAACCTAACACTCGTAACGTCATAGGAGCAGAAATCGCTCGGTAGGTTCACCCATCCCTCCTTTACGGTTCCGAAAAGTCCCCAATTTAGGCTCTCGACGTCATACTTCGCACAGGATTAGGACCACCGTATTTACAGAGGGTCTACGAGTCCTTTGATTTACCACGAATATTCAATATTCTACGTGTAAATAGTAGTGTACAAAATTATATGTAGCATATTATATATAATTATATGTAAGTGTATTAATTGTTATATACAATATATCATTACATTTTATAGAACAAGGTTAGTGGTTTTCTGAAGCGTAAGAAATAAAGAAACTGAGAGTACGCTAATGCTTCAGGATTTAGGGATCAATTCTCTCCATCTCACATCATTTGGAAACGACGTGCATCTTCGAATTTAACCGCTCAGACCAGAGTGCCAGGTTCCGTGCAACGAACGGTACTTATGCACGATAAAATCTATTCACAATAATTTAGTTTGAAATTGATATAGTACTAGGTATATAACGTTATATCGTAACAATAACGAAAGAAACAAAATATACAACAAATCTAACACAGAAATATGTTGTTGCAAAATCAACTATCATCAATACAAAAATTCGGAAACGTGACATTAAAAACTATTTAGGGTAACTGTAATCAAATTCAAATTCTGTAATCTATGTATTAAGATATTTACAAACAACTGATATCAATTTTATTCCAGTTCGTCGTAAATATTAAATCAAATTGAGTGTTAATCGCTTGTCTTCTTCTTCTTCTTCTTATGTTAACTTATCTGAACACTTTTTTCTCCCAATTAGTTCATATAATAGACGTTCTACTGTACTTATAAATCCAGTATCGAAATTAATTCGAATTTGTGAATACATGTTGGAGTAAAGTCTATCACTAAAGAATGTGTCGAACATTTTAGCGTGCGAGGATAACCATCAAGTTTCCATGGCAGAACTAGTTGTCGAACGTTGATCACTTGACTTTTAACAAAACTGATAAATCACGGATCGACGAACAAGTGATAACGTTTACTGCTTATTACTGTCTTCAGTACGATGAATATAATAGCTAGGAGCTGGCCAGGAAAGACCACGAAAATGAACATAAATAGGAAAAAAAAGGAAACGATAGAAGGAAGTTTATGATAACGAGTAGAAATGAACGAAATTGCAGGCGGAAAACTAAAAGATCTCTGCTGTTTATGTCTAATCGTAATCATAATCGTATCGTTTAACCTATGAAATATTATATAATATTGCATCAAAATAGGATTGCCACTTCGAAATATTTTAATAACAGAATATTTACCTTGACTATTCCAGTTGAGACCGCGTAAACTACCATTGCTAAAGTAGCAAAGATTCCAGCGAAAACTTGGTTTCTTCTTTTATTAGGAAAATCACTTTCCGAATCTCTTCTCATTTTGTGTGTATTTTCTTCGGCTTTACGTTGCTCATATTCTTGATATTCACTTTCAAAGTACTTCTGCGATATACGCGACACGTATTTCACTAAATTTGTACAGGCCTTCAAATGGTTTTGCAAGGCTGGATTTGGCAAAGGAACTTTGAGCAGCGGCGCCAAGTAGGAATACAAAATGGCATCTATTACAGTAGGTTTTTTCCCGAAAAAGTATTTTGAATCTTCAAGTCTTGTAGATAAGAGCGTCAGGCATTTTCGTGCTTCAGAATATACCTGTTTTGTACAACAATCGTTATTAAAGTCATTCCACAGCGATGCAACGTATCATACTACAGTCGAACGTCATTTATCCGAACACCGATTATCTGAGTTTCAATTATGGAAATGTCCGATTATACGAATTAAACTATGTATTCATAAATATTTACATTTTAAAATATCTATTCTTACTGTTTAAGTGTCCAATTTTAATGTACTGTCTAAACTTAATGCGTACGATTAGATTTCATTTATATCATATGTGCTAAAAATACTAGTGATAAAGTTTCAAAATAAATTAAATATTATTGAACGTATACAATGAGAATAAAAGTATATCCGACAACTGTTTCATTTCTGATTGATTGATAACATGTTTACATATTTGGTGCTTTCAAATCGGTTATCTAAGAAGTTGTTTATCCGGACGGATTTGTCTCTGAATTAATTCGGATAATCGACGCTTTATTGTATCATAAAAAGGAAAACATGAACTACTTTTAATTACCTTATTTTCTATGTCGGTCACATTTTCTTCAGTAGGGTACAAACACTCGAACAAAGTACGTGACTGTCTCTCAAATTTTCCGGGATAATAAAAATTAAATGGAAAAGGCAGTGATCTACTATAAAACGGCCTTATTAATTCATCTACATTCTTTTTATCTATCCACCTACAAATGTAAAGATTTTTTTACTATACAATTCACTTACAAATATATGCTTCAAAATTACGTGAAAAAAAGTAATCTTACCAAATAAATTGCAGTGCGGGAAACAATTTCTCTTTTAACAACTCACTGTATGCCATAACAGTTGCCAATTCTTTTTGCGTTAATTTATCTTTGGTCGTATTACATGTTTCTGTAAAATACAGTATTATTTCTCTAGCAGTATCGAATCTTCCGTCAGTAGTCCGCAATACAGGCAACCGACCATGAGGCGTATTAAAAGGATTACCGGAAGTATTTACTTTTATTGGTATACCATTAAATTTTGCGTAAACCTGAAATAATAATAAAACATTCTAACATTCATCCTAAAAAAACTAATGGACACAAGCTGAAAAATTAATATTTCAAGAGTTATAACGAAGGTTGTAGTGGAATCATAGTCAAGCTGTATCGGTGCCAATTTTTATTGCTATTGATTGTTAAATAATTTTCACTAACCCAGACCATTTCCAGTTAATAATTGAGATATTTACATAAAACAAAAAGAAAAAAGTAGCTAATTATTGTCTATATTTCACACAGTTTTTCATAATTATAGGTCAATTGTTAAGGCTAGAAAAAAATAAACCTCTTTTAGGAAGTGTGTGTAAATATCTGTATAGTAAAAGTAATAGGAAGGTTGAATTGAAGGAACATGGTTAGATAATTAACACGTTGACTACCACGTGGGTCACCGATGACCGGAGGATACAAATTACAAGAAAATAATTATAACTTGTAAGACAACTAATGCCGAATACAAATGTTTAGTAATGTAAATGATTAGACTATAGTCTAACGTAAGAATTGTGATACTAAATAATTAATAATTCTTCCTTTTAATATTTGCTACAGAAAGAATAAGCGATACATAAAACGCTGATGTTTTTCGTAGCAGTCAACGTGTCAAAGAATGAACCAATGTTACATATTACGAGATACAGATATAAAAAGTAAATGTTTATTTTTATAGTTTCGTAAAAAAATTAATCTTTATTATTATTGTAGTATCTAGAATATTTAGCGTAGATTAAAGTATTGTAGGATGAATGGTTTGTGTGCGTGCTTAAGGGCGACCAGGTCGTATTGCGATGGACCGGCGCCGGGATGTTTGGAAAATAGTGTGACTGCGTTTAGAAAATCTTGAGTGGCTGAAAGAATGCGAGGAAGAGTGTCTGGAACTGAGCGACTGGACCGTGAGAAAAGCGTGTACGTGACTGCGTGAGTTTTGACATAGGACGAAAGATGCGAGTGAGAAGGGTGCAAGGGTGCATTTTTACGTGTTGTCCGTATTGTTTCCTTATTTCATTAAATACATAAATTTATTCCTAATTCTCTTTTTACTGAAGATCCACCTTTTCACTATCTATAATAATAGTAGCCCCACTATAAACTTGGGGGCTCGTCCGGGATCACTATATTACTTTCACCGATGATTGCAATCATCTCAAATACATCAATTAAGTTGATCAATATTTTTTAGCATTTAGCAATATTTTGCACCACTACAATAATGCACGTTCCTCGCAACACTGCAGTTACTTTTTCCTATATTTCTTGAAAAATAATGGTTTTGTTTTCCTTACAAAATCTTAAACCCATTCCATTTAATGAATTCCTTAAGAAGAGATTGTCTTTTTTCTTCGTCAAAAGTTGCAATACTTTAGGATTTTTTATTAGCAAAAGTGTAACGTTAATTAATTTGAAACTTTGCATATATGTTTGTTGTACTGTCATTATGTTACATGAATTTTTTCAATTCAATTCACTTAAAAATAAAGTTTGAATTGCCCACGGTAGACGCTCGCGCAATTGCTTCATTAACGGTTGACATGATATCTGCCCCTCAGTTCATATGAATTCAAAAATTCTAATGATATTTTATTTTATACACATATAGTTATCGTTTGATCTACAATGAATAAAAAAAAATTATTTTTCGAGAAATAGTAACAGTTTAAACTTAGATGTTCGGTTTTTCGCAAGAAATTACCCGAACTTTTGGTAAGTTTGCAAATAAATTTGAACTTGGCTATTAGAAAACTACGACTCCAATAAAATAAACGTTTTCGAACAGTGCCATGGATTCTGGGAGTCTCGATCGCTCGATCACTTTGCCGCCAAATACATACCTTACTTCAAAAGTTCATAACTTTGAAAATATTAAGAATTTTAACTTAAAACTTTGCAGAGACATTCTTAAAGAGTTAAGAACACTCACAACCTTTTCGTACACATATTTTATTTCACAGTTTCGATGTTTCCCGTCTCATATTATTCACGTAATTGTGGCGGCATAACGGGACACAGGAAAGGTTTTCTTGCCGTGCGGATGCTCTAGCCCAGGTAGCACGGGTAAGCAAACATCAGCGTTGCAGACCTGTGCGAGTGCGTTAAATTGTCGAACCCTAAATCGGGCGATGAAACAAACAAACTACCTAGCTCCGCACATGGGGGAAAACCTTCCTTTTCCGAACGGAATCATGAGAATTTCCATGTACCCCATATCTTTGTCAGCGGACAAAGATGTGGGGGTGAAGCGACGTTAAATGGAAGCCGCCGTGATAGCCAGATCCCACTTCACGTCCATTTGTTCTGGCGCTAGGTCAGACGGAAATCTTTCCGCGTATCTTATAAGTGTCGAGTAATAAATAAGAGTTATCGTTAAAACTAGTCAGTCATTTTGCATACTACTACCCACATAATTATTACGTAACTTCCTACCGACTCTACTCATTGTTGTACACGAACATCCAGACCTTTTTCGATTTGTAACATTAGCAGTCTCATCAAATTTCTTTTTTAAAGAACTAGCAGTACTATGACTGCAGCTTAATATTTCCGAATCTTTTTTTGACAATAGTAGTCTTGATGCTTTGACGGCCTGGAATATTATTACATTCATTTTTGGCTTTCGGGTGAGAACCGTGTCCAATAGGAATATTTTCCCAACGTTTCGCCGGCATTGCAGCTGGCTTCATCAGGGGGCTAAAGGCACACTGATACTGGTGTGTGTCTTGGAAGACTTTCTTTAAATATGTACCCTGTTCATGTTCCGGATCGGCGGTTACCAATCATTTTTAATTGGTCAGCTGAACAATTAAAAAAGCGGGAGGAGGGAGTGCGAAATGGGTTTCAATTGATATCCTGTGTCCCTGTTGATGGGGTATACAGGTGCACAGCTTCATTCTGGCACAGCCAACCTCTCCTCCACGTGGTGTACCCTGGGAAACTTTCGAGTTTGCCAACGAGGCTCTGGCGCGACTCTCCAGCGAGCGTCCGGGCGGTATTTATACCGTACGGACCGCGGAGTCGTCAAATACCGTAGCCGGTATGTCTAGCAACGACCCACTGGGGACATCCACCCAGTGGTACGCGAAGCATAACCGGTCGGGGGGCTTGCCTTAACCGGCCGGTCCACGAGGAGATAAACCTCTCTAATAAATCCGAAACCTTAAGTTATGGTGCGCGGCGAAGGGGTGCGGGCCGTCCTTGCGATGGTCCGTGGTTGGTGGGTGCACCAACCCTTAGCGGCCAACCTCGAGGCACCTGGCGAACCTCGTTGTATTTAGCCTTCCCTCCTGGAAAGGGCGTCACCCGGGAGGGCGACTTCATTTCGTCCCTACTCGTGGGATCAATCATGGTCAAATCTAATAAAACAAACAAATCAAAGAAGATGACGGTGGTGGAGGTGCAGAAAGCCCTCATAGAAAAAGAAGACGCTTGAATGGCTGGTGAGGGGGCTTCACCCCCCCTCGTCACCGCCAAAGCAAATCCGGGTGATACCCTAGAGGTATCACGCCGGAAGAGACGTATAGAGAGACCGGAAGGTTCCGATTCGGAATCCGGCTCCGAGCGAAAAACTGCCTCGCAGAGGAAGAGGCAGAATAAAGATACTCAGAAGGTAGAACAATCTACCAGCAAGCCTGAGGATGATCTTTCGCCACTTGATGCACTGTTCGTACAGTGCAAGATAGTGCAAGATCAACTTCAGGCTATTATTGGCCCAGCTCCCGACATTGAAGTGTTTAAATACAAAACCTTCATTGCAAGGGAGTACACGACAGAAGTCGAGGAAAAATGTAAGGCGCTGGAAGAAGCCGAAAGGCGGATCCAAGCCCTTACAGAAGAAAAAGAACAAGCGATAACAGCAATGTCCAAGAAGCTTGAGGATGCCGAAAGGCGGATACAAGCCTTGGAAAAGGCGAGTGCATGCGCCAAAGCAAGGCCAAAGGCCTCGACAGTGATACCAAAAATGACTGAAAAGCCAAAGAAGGCTGTGGCCCAGTCGTACGCGGCTGTGGCCTAACAAAACACAACGACCAAACCTAAGGGAACAGTGAGGCATGTCGTCACCGTTTACCTAAATAACAAAGATAACAAGGATAGCAAAGCAACGAAAGTTGCTTTGCAGAAATGCTTTGACCCCAACCGGGACAAGTTGAGGGTCAAAGGCATAAGAAATATTAACAAGGGAGGCATCCTCGTCGAAACGGCGACAAAGGACGACCTCCAGAAGCTCGTTAAGAGCAGGAAACCAAACGAAAAGGGACTGAAGGTGACAGTCCCTACAAAGAAAAAGCCGGAGTTGGTCCTGTACAACGTACCGGACCTCACGAAGGAAGAGCTGCTTGCAGCTCTTAAGTCGCAGAACGACGACTTAGAAACAGAGGATGTAAAGCCGCTGTTTAAAACAGCAAAAGGCAAGAATTGGGTGGTGGAAACATCACCCAAAACAAGGGAAATTATTATGAGCAGAGGCAGATTGTTCCTCGGCTGGCACGCCTGTCGCGTACGTGATTACGTCGTGGCAGGCAGGTGTTTCCGATGCCAGGCGTTTGGCCATATAGCCAAACACTGCTGGGCAAAGGTAAACACCTGCGGGCATTGTGCCGAAGAGGGACACTGCTTCAAAGAGTGTCCAAATAAGGAAAGAGGACCCTCTTGCATAAATTGCAAGAGGGCAAAGCGTCCACATAGACACTCATCCAGATCGGATGAGTGTCCCGCCTACAAGAAGGCACTAGAGACCCTAGTCTCGAAGACAGACTATGGGGACTAGATAACCGAAAGATGGTGAAAATCCACCCGAACGACGGCGCGGGCATAACGACCTCACGGAAGTTATGTGTCGGGAGGGTGTGAGCGCAACTTGTTGCGATCAAAACTCTTACAGAAGCTTGTCCTGTAAGCCCGCTAAAGACCGAATGCGACTCAGCCTCCTCGTGGTCCCCGCTGGTAACGTCCTGGACGGTAATATTCCGTCTCGACGGTTATTACCGGACAGGGCGGC